CCATCCTTCACTACCCAAAGGTGTCTCAGAGCGGCTTACAAACTCCTTTCCTTTCCCCTCCCCACAAGAGACACCCTGTGAGGTAGGTGGGGCTGAGAGAGCTCGGACAGAAACTGCTCTTTTTCAAGAACAGCTCTTATCAGAGCTATGGCTTGCCCAAGGTCATCCAGCCAGGTGCCAGTGGAGGATTGGGGAATCAAACCCAGTTCTCCCAGATTCGAGTCCGCACACTTAACCACTACACATACCTGGAGGTGGCAACCCTATCTCCTTCCCAGCCAACCATTAGTGTACAGTTATCTGCCCCTCTGACTTCAGCTTTCCATCTCTCCCCTCCCCATAACTGTAGCCCCTACCTTGGAAAAGTACAGTTTTTTCTCTGCAGTGGGGACCAAGCAGGAGGGAAACAACGTCAGCAGGGTATAATGACACAGACTCACCCTATAAAGCATCCGTTTTCTCCAGGGGAACTGATCTCTACTATATGGACAGTAGTTTTAATTCTGAGTAATCTCCAGCCCTCACTTGGAGATTGGCAGCAATGGCTCCACAGGAGAAAAAGTACAGTCTTTCTCTGCAGTGGGGACCAAAGCAGCTCACATCAGTCTCCTCTCCCCCTTTTTATCAGCACAACCACCCTGTAAGGTAGGTTAGGCTGGAAGTCTGTGACTGGTCTGAAATCTCCCACTCAACTTCCACAGCAAGAACCTGGGTTTGGCAGACCTGACTTAGGGGGGCTGCTGCTGGTGAACAGGAGCAAGCAGCCAGGTCTAGTTGTCTTGCCAGTCAGGTGTCATGAGGTCACCCAGAGAGCGCTTCCAAGCCTACGGTAGCCAACCTCCTTCACAACTGAACTCCAGACAACAGATCTCTCTCCCCCTGGAGAAAATAACTGCTTTGTAGGGTGGACTCTATGGCATTCTCTCCCCTCCCCAAACTCTGGCTTCCATAGAGTCCACCACAATATATCCAAGAATTTCCCAACCTGGATCTGGCAACCCAATCCTAGTCAGGACTGACCCAATGAGTCCCTCACAAAGGCCAAAGAAGGCCTGGAATGGGCCTCCTGCCTTTGCCTTTTTACTGACAGTACCAAGTTTGGTTGCCTAGCAACAGCCACTGAAGGAAACGTTAGCCCCACAGGAGGAGGAGGAGAGAATGGCTGGTGGCCCACCTCAGTAGCCAGCCAGCTGCAGGAGAAGTGTCTTCATCAGGAGAGACAGCCATTTATTCTGATAGGGACGTGGCCAGGCTGGCAGTGGGCTGGGGAGAGGAGCGGACCTAGCCCCCAGGCAATGGCACGCAAGTACTCTTGAGTGGTGGTTGATGGACCAATGGCTGATGGAGCCCACAGCACAGCCAGTGGGAGAGCTGGAAAGTGCCAACACATTGTGTGTGTGTGTATGTGTGTGTGTGTGTGTGTGTGTGTGTATGTTAGAGATTTTAATTCTGCCCTCCCCAAACGGGCTCGGTGGATCACAAAAATACGAATTCAAGACTCATTACAATAAAATCACATTAAAATAATTAAAACAGTAGACAAAATTGCACAGGTAGCAAGAATTTCATATAAACCTGTTGGGGCTACAAGATGGAATCAATGGGTGCTTTCAGTGGGTTGGGAATTAAAGCAGGGAGGCCAACTGAGTTGGATGCCTGCTGTGTCACCCAAAGGCCTGGTGGAACAGCTCTGGTTTTCAGAAAAAGCCCTGGCCCTGGTTGAGGCAAGATGGATGTCCTTTGGACCACGGACCACCAGGAGATATTGATCCACAGAATGTAAGGCTCTTTGACGTGTTTACGGGAAGAGGCAGTCCCTCAGATAATGTTGGTCCCAGGCCGTTTTAAGGCTTTGAAGGTTATTACCAACACCTTGAAGTGAATGCAGAACTCAACAGGTAACCAATGCAATTGGTGGAGCGCATGCCGAATGTGAGCCTGCACAGGCATCAACGTCAGCAGGCACATAGCCGCATTTTGCACCAGCTGTAATTTCCGGGTCAATCTCAAGGGTAAGCCTGCATTGAACAAATTGCAGTAATCAAGCAGTGCCCCAAGTTTGCTGAAAAATCTGTTTAGCCTCAACGTGGTCCATGGACTTAACTATTTGCAGATGGGGGCCATGAGTGGCTGATAGTATATAGATAAATTCATTTCTTAGTTTTCTAATGGTGTAATGCAAATAGTACTCACCAATCCCCTTTTTTCTATGAAGAAATAGTATTGTGTGCTGTAATCATTTTAATAAGTCTTACCACCTGGTTGAATGACAGTCAAGGTGAAGCTAAACCCACTGTGCAGAAGTATAAAGAAAAGATTTGTACAAAGATGGACTCTGATCAGCTAGATGTGTTCAGACCCTGTATTGATGCAATTCTCAGTGTGACCACCAGAGAAGTAATAGTATTATGGATTCTCTGTAAGCAAATGGAAAGAATGTGGAAAGATGTGGAAAACAAAATAGAAGCCTTCTAAAAACAAAAGAAAACTCTTTTAGGCACCATATTTGTTTCTCTTTATGTCTTACAACATTTTGTATTAGTCCAAAATTCATAGCAGCATAACAAACATGTTGTAACACTGACTCAGTTGTCATCACTGAGGTGAAATGTTCTGGTGCAAGAGTATAAAACCTGTGAGTTTATGTAGCAAGTCTTAAGTTCTGTCACTGTGATTTCCAGCCTCAGTTCAAATTTCTGTATGAGAAATGAGAAACTCCAAGGACTTGCAAAGGAAAGAAAATTACATTCTCCCACCTCACTCAGACTCTTCTTTCTCTCCTTCGTGGCTCCCATTTTTCCTACCTTTATCCTACAGTCCCCACAATTACTGTGGCTCCTGCATTTTCCCATCTAGTGTTACGTTCCGCAGCCCCCCTGCCAGCTTTTGGAAACTGTTTCCCTTGTAGTCACCCATCTGGCTCTTCTTTGCTTCTCTCCTTCCCTCCCACCCGTTTCTGATTCCTTTCTTGGTTTTCCCATTCAGCCACCACATTCTCTCTCACCCACTCTCTCAGTTTTGCAATCTCTGTTTCTTTCCCTCTCCTATATCTGGCTCCCACTTCCCCCCCCCCATACCTCCTAGTGGCAGTCATATCATACCAGCTGTCATTTTGGGTTGTTGTGGCAATCCAAAATGCCACCTGAAAGCTGGTATTTTTTGTAATGTCTACCCATGCATAGGCATCACTGTTGTCATTTTGGATTTTTCAGCAAACCTGAGGGAAACCCAATGAGGATTTTTCGACCCACATGGGGAAGATATACCCCATCCCGTGTGTGTGTGTGTTGTTACTATGAATAATACTTTGCAAATATTGCACTGGGAGATATAGGTATCATCCCTTTAAATATACATTACTTGACCTTGTACTTGACTTGGGTGAGCCCCTATATGCAGGTTAGTCTCAGAAAAAACAGTTTTATTTCAAATATACCTTACTCTTTCTGCTTAAAAATATCCCAGATGGTTTGCGATAGAGTCATTAAGACAACAAATGACTTATCAATTAAATTAATTTATTTAGCTTATTTCTCACCACCTTTCTTACTGAGACTCATGGTGATAACAGAATAAAGAGGAAAACAAAGCAATGGAAGTATACAATGAAATCACAGCATCATCCATATCATAAACTGGAACTGTAAAAATAAAACTTGGACCTATCCTCTTGAAGAAAAACCTGGTTGATGCTTATAGAGTCATAAATTAACCCAATTTTGAAAATACAGTCAAGTCTGGCACAGTTTTGGATGCCCAGTATTGTAATGGTGGTGCAGTGAAGACGCCTGTTAGGATGGGGAGGATTCTACTGACTAGTTTGGACTGGATTCTCATGCCACTTTGCATACATTGTTCATGCAGAACTGAATCCTCAGTCTGAATTAATGTGCAGCTCAAATTTTAATAGAATATATTCTGGTTTTATTACCAGGAATTTTTCAACCTGAAGTTCACAACTCTAGTTGTGATGGAGGAATGCTGTCTTTGTGCAGATTCTGGACATTGGAAATATTAATTCTAAGGCTGAGATGCTGTATTTGTGAAGTAAAAAAAAGGTTAATTGTTCATTGTACTTTGTATACTATACAGTCAGTTTATCGAAACTAATTTGTTCAACTTGCATCTGCAAATATATGAGAAGTAATTAATTGTGTTCAAGATGTGATGAAGTAGAAAGATCCACAGAGGACAATTGAAAACAGTCGCACTATGGTATTGATTGCCTTTTGTTTCGTTGGGGGTGGGAATCTTGTCCTGTTTCTAAATGTTAACTATGCAGAGAGAAAAATTCTCTCTTGAGGAGAATGCTTTCCAGGTTGCTTCATTGCCAGGTGTTTGACATTGAGTGGAGCTTTAAATGAATGAAGCTTATGGCAGTCTTTGGAAATGACCGACTCCAGGGGATCTCAGCTTCCTGCTGTGAAAGTTTCTGTTTTCAAAGCACATCAGTTTTAGTGGGAATGTTACAGTGATCCCATATGCTATTTCTGACAAAGAGCTAAGTTTCTCCCTTGAATCCGAGACAGCTACTGAAGAGGTTCCCTTGCTGCTAACAAAATGAATTTCAATATGTTGCCGATGAACAATCGGTATGTTTCCAACAGCTAATGGAACTTAGCTCCATCAATTATTAATGGAAATCTGCTTTATTTTCCTCATTTTGCACCATCTCCCAACTTTGGCACATGCTACTGATATCACTTTTTGGGTTCCGAAGCTGGAAGGGAATCACCAAACCAAAATGCCAGTTTCCTTTGAAAGTCATGCTACATTTCTCCCTGCCCCTCCCTTCCTCATAAACTCTTTTTCTCACTCTCTCCTTGACCTAGCAGTAGGAAGCCTTTGTCTGAGGTGTTCATCTGGAACAACTTTTCCACACTTGTTTTCATGTTCTGTTAGATTACAGGGCAGCAGGCCTACCTTTGAAGCTCCTTTCTCTTTTGTTTCTTTGCAGTGCACTCCAGTAATTAACTTTGTCCTTCTTTTATTTGTTCCAGTCAATCGCAGTCCACTCTGCTGAGCATCTTCTCCCAGGAGTACCAGGTTAGAAGTTTTCTCCTTTGTGAGGGTTGACAGGTGCCTAATTGAATGATGAATGTCCCTTTATTTCTTTGTAATTGAACTGCCAGCTTTCTGATTGGTTTGGAGGATGTTCCCCTTTCCACATCAAGCACCGCCTGAGTCTCAGTGGATGGCTGCCAAGCCTACCCATCCATCTGTCTAATAACATCTAGCCTTTGCTTATTTGGTGGACCTGTAATAAATTATGCTAAACCATTATTATTCTGACAATAATAATTTCCCTGTGTTGCGTGGTTCCATGTGCTAAATGTTTGCTGACTTGCACTGTCAGTGCTGCTTTCCATGGCTGACAGAGATGATGATAAATGACCATTGCCGGAATGGCAGAAGGCAAGAGAGGCAGAAAATGGAGTCATTTATCATGAGATGACAGGTGTCAGTCAAGTGGCAAGTCTCAATGGAATTACTTTTTGTAGTTTTCAAATAAGTTGTTTTTAAGCAATGTTCTTCCTGGTTAAAAATGCCAATTGAATTGTAAAACCAGAGTGCAGGGGACTTGGATGGAATTGATTTGAGGGAAAATTAATATAAAGGTTGAGGGGAAAGTACAAGTTTTTTCTGCCCTCTGCAACCCTTAGCAAACTTATTTAGATTCAATTACTATGACCTTAGTGCCGTTTACATATATGGCGTGTTGCAGTACAGTCAGAAGATGTTTCATTCCATGCTTTAATGAAAAATAATTTCTTGGTAGGTTTTGAGGGTTTTCTCCAGTAGTCATAATGTTGTGTTGGATTTCTGTTTGATTTGTTATAAATTATTTTGTTGTTTTTCAGAAACAAATCAAAAAAACACATGCCAAACATCATAGTCCAGAGGCGACTGATGCTTATTATCAAAGGTATGATTTACCTACTTCACTATCTAGTGGAATGCTGATTTTAATCCATACTATCTCATTTTCTGCATATCTCACATTCTAATGATGCTTATCTCCACAGAGTTACAATTTCTATGCACAATGCAGTCGTTCTCAAACCAACAAATTTGTTTTCTTATTTTCTATTTTGAATTGTGGCCCCAGTCTGTGGCAGTTTTCCATATTTCTTTTTTTTAAAAAGGAGATGTTAGGAATTGCATGGGCTATGAGGATATTACTGGTGAAATTTATATATTAGCCACACTGAGTGACCCTTAATTGAAGATAGCATATTTTGCATTTTAGACAGTATGTATATGAAAACTTCTATGCATAAGGGCTTCACAACATAGTTTGTACATTTTGGTCCATGACTGTTTTAGAAGAAATGATGTTAAAAAAAAACCTTTAAAGAAGGCATAAACCTTTAATATGTCATTTCATAAAATTGTTACATGATTATGTACATCTGGAGTTAATAAATTGTAATTAGAATTTGTTATAGGTTATCTGTAGCTATATTGACCTAGATATCCCAGCAGCATAATTGGGGCATAGTGGTATCTGGTAGAGATGTGCAATTAAAACCTTACTGTACAGATTGACATCTGCACAGCCTGCATGGCAAATGAGATTATACCTGTGATTATAGGTGGCTGATATTTGTGACCATCAATCCTAACAAAAGTAAACCACAGAATTTTAACAATATGAGGCAAGCTGATTGTATTACACCAAACTACACCAAACTGGAGAGCCAGTTTGGTGCAGTGGTTAAGTGTGCGGACTCTAATCTGGGAGAACCGGGTTTGAATCTCCACTCCTCCACTTGCACCTGCTGATGTGACCTTGGGTCAGTCACAAACTCTGGCACAGCTGTCCTTGAAAAAGAGCAGTTTGTGTCAGAGTTCTCTCAGCCCCACCCACCTCACAGGGTGTCTGTTGTGGGGAGGGGAAGGGAAAGGAGTTTGTAAGCCGCCCTGAGACTCCAAGTGAAGGGCGGGGTATAAATCCAATCTCTTCTTCTTCTCTATTAAACATACATCTATCTGTTATGAAGCACATATGCCAAGTGATAAAACCACCCACCAACTTATAAGACCAACCAACCAATATGTTTACCATACAACTTATTGAAATAGCTACTTTATGATGATAATCTTTTCTTTATGGTGATAATCTTTATTGATTCTCATGTTTTGCTGTTACCAGGTAGCAAACATATTTCACAGAAGAATTGAACAGAGTTAATCAGTAGGGAGTTATTCTCCTGGAGTTGCATTAATAGTGAAAAAAGATATTCCTGCCCCCTAAATTATATAATACAATATAAAACAATGATCAATTTGTAATGCTTCATTCTATGTATTTATGTATTTACTTCATGTAGATCAGTGGTTCTCAAACTTTTTTGGGCCTTCATCCTCTTGGTTCCATAAACCACCACCTTACCCTACAAAAAGCATTAATCAGAATAGTGGTTTGCACAACTCAATGAGGAAGACAATAACAATAAAATTCAAAACAATAACAATTCATTGCACATTCCAATTCCAGTGAAAATTTTGTTTTAAAAAAGAATCCACAACAGTGTTGAAGGTCGTGAAAGTGTCTCACATAGTTGCCAATGAATTCAGTATGAAGCAGTAGACAAAATCTTCATCGTTCTCAAACATTGCAAGCATGGGCATTAATATTCACTGCAGTAAAGACAGTGCATACAGACTTGAGCAGGCAACCATATGTTAGCAATGAATGACACAGTAAATGGTAAAGACATTTGGCACTGTTCTTTTTCAAGTAAGTAACACGCCTACAGTAGTGACCAGTCATTGATGGTGCTCCATCAGTTGCACAAGCAAGTATGTTAGTAAATGCAATTTCCTTGCTTTTGAAGAACTGCTCAACAACAGAAAATATTGACTCCCCTTAAGTATCTGTTCTTAGTTGCCTTGCAAATAACAACTCTTGGGCCAGCCTTTCATCTTTTTATAAAGTGCATGTAAGCAAGAAGCAAAGATTCATTGCCTAGCAAAGTTGACTCATCTAGATTCATTCTGTGGTCCTTAGTGTGCTGTATAACGTATCTTCCACATTTTTAGCCATTTCATGGCTCTCTGTGGTGGTGCTGTTCAAGCTTCTTTTGTTCTTGCAGATCTCCAGAGGCTGCAGTTGTCTTGAGGATTCTTCTCAGGTCACTCTGTTCTCTGCCCTCAGACGGATTTTGTCTCCTTTTTTCTTCTCAGAACCTTCTCTTTTCCCTCTGAACTCTCCTCTCTCCTACGGCTCCCTCCCAGGGACACAATACCTTTCCCTCCAAACTCCAGTAGAGAGACAAACCCATATCAGGGGTCATTTCCTGCAGGAGCGCACAGGAGCAGAGCTCCGGCAGTAAGGAGCCCAAGAGGTGGGCATATGCAACAAGCCCCGCCCCCTGCTCCCAGCAGCCCTCAGTTGGGCCACGAGGACCAAGAAGCAGCCAGCTAAGTTGCAAAGACCCCCCCCGGCCCACCTTCAGGTACAAACTCCCCCTCCTCTGTGAAGGGAGATCTGCGCGTCCCCCCCCCAATAGCTAGCAATCCAAAACAGTCCAGTGGAGCCTGAGTGGTGGGTGCTGCCTTCTGACACACTTCCGGTGACGTCAGGGGGTGTGTTCTATGCAAATAACTTATGCTAATGAGCTCCTGCACCTCTTTTTCTACAAAATGAAAACGTTTCAACTTTTTCAAAAACTTGAAAAATGACAAAGAAACAAAAACACGCACAGTGACGACCCAAATCACTTTGATAATTATTTCAGACACTGAGCCCTATTGTTTAGTAGTAAGGAATATTACATTCACATTACAAATCTGTGGCTTTGTTGTCCACTTCTATTCACATTCCCAGTTCTTTTCAATGTTGTCTATGGTTTTGTTGTCTTTGGATGCCATTATGGCACTGACTGCTAACTCCATAATACCTATAGAATTCAATGCAAGGTGTAAAAAAGAGCAAGAGTCCAGTAGCGCCTTAAAGACTAACAAAATATGTGGCAGGGTATGAGAAGTCAGCAGTGACTCATAAAAGCTCATACCCTGCCACATATTTTGTTAGTCTTTAAGGTGCTACTGGACTCTTGTTCTTTTCTGGTGCTGTAGACAGACTAACACGACTACCCATCTTAATGCAAGGTGGTCATGCCCATTATATGTTAGGGTTTACTGTACTGGATTTAAGACACATGTGTCATGTAGCCTAGCCACCTGCACTTGCATTCACACAGACACACTCTACAGAATCCATGGGCTGAAGCTCTTTCCACTACATTGGATTATGAGACCTTTGTCTTTTGTGATCCAGTTGAACTGGGAAAACTGGGAATTCACATGATTGTGAGGAGCAGGGGTCTGGTCTGTGACGTTTGTAACCTGATATTTGTTTGTATGAATTATCTTCCTCATTTACATGTAGAACAAACTCCCCCCTCCCTCCATTCTTCTGCCCTTATTCATCCGGCACCACTGAGGCCCTCAAGCAATGCTACTCACAGTAGGATAGCCACATAGCAGAGTTTTTCACACCAACTTCACATGTTGCTGGTTTACATTATATGCACTGTGAAGGAATAGTAGGTCAATAGCACGAATTTTTCTTTGTTCCCTTAAACCTGATTAAGATCCCAAGCATACATTGCACTGTGATTTACAGTGTAATTCTAAATAGAGTTACACCTTTATAAGCCCATTGAATTCAAAGTGAGAAATACCCCCTGATGACACATACAAGGAGACACTAGTAAGCTATCCTTGCAAGTAGAAAGCCATGAGAAGTGGATGAAGTTCCTTAACCATGACTTGTTTAAGTGCAGATGTAAAATTTGACCATTGTAAACACAAACCATGGTATGCAGACCCACTTTACAATGCATAACCAAGGCAAAGGAAAATAAACCACAGTTAACTGGGTTTGCATTATTATTTAGTTTGAAAATTTATATTGCACCTGTCCAGAGCATTGTTCCATCTAAGCTGCGCTAGGGGGTGCTGGCACACAAAATTTTAACAGGCAGCACAGGGATTACTGCTTCAGCCCACAAGGCATTTTTCCCCTCCTTGGAAACAGTGGAGGATAGGGGCACCTCCTTCTGGGGTCCATAGAATTGGACCCCCAATCCAATCTTTTTGAAATTTGGATGGTAAGGGAGGAGGTCATCCTGCCCCTAGTCCAAAGCTATATAGGATGCTAAATGTAAGAACCAGCACTTTAAGCCTACAACAATAGTCTGACCATCATATTTTGGATTCGTTGAAATTTCTGGAAAGTTTTCAAAAGTGTAATGAGCTGGCAGATCATCTGATTATGGTCATTTTGAATAGCTTGGTTCTTGATAATAAAAATATGTACTGTGTCATCTGTTATTCAGGATTCATTAAATAGTCTTCCCCAAGTGATCTTCATGTATTGAATATATGCCTTTTATTGAGGTTTCAGTAAGGAAAATGGAAGATTTATGTCATTGTAATTCATGACACTGAAATTAAGAGGATATGTTTTCGTTGGGCTAAAGTCACCTAATTCACCTAAATTAACAAAATAAAGCAACACACACAAAAAACTAAATGAGCACAATTCTTATCCAAGAGGGCTGATTTCCGTTTGTTCTTTTTTCATCTGTGGAGGGCTCTAGCTTTGTTTTCAAGATCTACTGTAATTTCATAGCTCTAACAAATAAAAGGTCGGGTCTTTCCTCTTTGATTCAAGCCTTTTAGGTCACATACTGACCTGCGCTCTAGACAGGGTTGGCAAGAATGTGGTGCATTATTGAGAAGAACAGGTTAATAATTAGTTCAGAGTAAAATCATACAACAGTGAAGGTATTTTGGGTCCCCAGTGAGACTAGTTCAGCAATGGAATAATTGATTTTATAATTATCCATTCAACTATGTGAGGATTTTAGTGATTGTAGCCAGTCAAGTTTGTAAATGTTATTTATTTCAGAA